ATCCGAGAGGTATCGCTTATCGCGGCGAGTTGGCAACGAAACGCGTTTTCGCGCGGAACCTCGGAGTCCTCTTTGTAGCGGGCCGCCCGCTAGACCGTCGTTCGCCTCGTAATTCATCGCGACACCGGAGTCCCGTGATCCGTGATCGCTCGGGGAACCACCGTTTCCTCGTTCTTCCGTGATTCGCTGCCCAAGATCGCGTGTTCTTGGTCCAGGTTTCCTTTCTCTTTCGGATGCTAGCATTTTTGACGGCAGAACGGTTTCCTTGTTTAGCAGTTATCGATGTCTTGAAAGTGTCAGACGTCTTAATGATGCTCAAAGTAAGTGGTTTAATCGTATTAGGATGGTAGTTCAGCGGTAAATGAAGTTTGAGCGACACTTTCACCGCGGTGCGTGACACATCGAAAAGTTGAACATCACTTTTTGGCTAACCTAGTGGGTTTAGAATAGATTTATAGATCGGAGGTAGATCAGGAGAAGGTAAACTTGTTTTAATTATCGCAATGTACATCCATTCATAAGTCACTCGCCACTTTAACTGTACTCTTAGATGCTTCAATATTTTAATCGTACGTTCGAAATGGCTCTCGCGAAACGTGTCGTTCGATCGAACCTTTGGAAAGTGGCGAACAAAGTAGCTAAGTGCTGGAAAACGTGCTCGAATGACTAGATAATATTCCTTGAAACCAGCTCGATCCAGAGTTCAACGAGTGATTGACTATTCATCGACTGATCGATGAATTCAGAGTCGAATAGAGCGATAGGAGCTAACCGAACGATCGGATGAAATCTCTGAAAGCGAAGCGAATCGGCGAAAATTGAGCCGATCCTGAACCGAATAATCGGAGCCCGCGGTCCTCGAAGCGAACAGCCGATCGTCGTTCAAAGGTTAAACGTTGTACACGGTCGGCCGTCTTTCGTCGTTTCCCAGCGCGATGACGACGATTCTTATGCAACCGTCGCACACCTATCACGGCGGAACAACAGCCACTCGGCCGAATTTATTTACTCATTTCACCGGCACGATTCATCTCATCTCCGCGGCCAAGCCCGAAACACTCGGGAGGGACGAGGACGGCCTTTGGTTGGCCGAACTAAAAATACGAGGCTGCACTCTCGGGAACGCCGCGTTTCTTTATCGCGGTTGTCCCTCGTTATGCAAGCCCGCTCGCGAAGTTTTTTCATCGCGCGACGGGAAAACGGTCTCGCGACACTCGTCGGTGACGGGACTTGTTGCTTCCGAGACAGTTCGATGATTTTCGGGACGATCTGGATGACGCTCGTAACTCGGTCACAGAGAAATTTGAGACACATTGGTACACACCCTATTTCTATGCGTGTAATTCTATAATTCTTACAATTAACCCTTTGCGGACGACGATTCTTTGAAACATTGAAAACCTTCGACAGACGAAACTAAATTATATATCGATTGCTTAAATAACAGCAGAAACAGAAACATGCTAATCTCTTGTTTCGACTCGTCCGCAAAGGGTGAATACAATTGTCTCCCGCGAGAGACGTACAGAAAAACGAGCGTAGCAGCGTCGCGTCGGATACGAAACGGTTCCAAGATACGCGAACGACGATACGATCCGTGAACTATCTTCCCAGAGTCGACAAACAAGTTTCGTCGGAGGGATCGGAAAGCGGTGAAAAATTTCCTCGAGCCACTCGGGAAGGTTCTGTGGCGCGGGGAGGGGGGCGGAAGACCGGGAACGCCGTTATCTCTTCCGTTATCGGTGAAATAATACTTATTTGCGTGCGATAGACGCGTGCACTCGCGCGAGCCCCGTCGAGATTACCACGCGAGCTCCGCCGGCGAGCCGAACATTTGGGGTCCCGCTGGTCAATTTGCGACAATTACCGAGCCGTTGCGACTGGTTAAAGGCAGTTAGCGCTCGGCGAACGAGCAGGGACGCGTACACCGAGTGCGTTCATCTCGCGGCCGATCCGTGTTCTTTCTTCGATTATTTCCACCGGGAAACGGTTCCCACGACTCCGACGGAGGTTCCGTCTAGCTGTCGCTTAAGCTGAACGCGGGTTACCAGGATTGCATCCCCTTAGGATTGGTTAGATCTTCATTAATTTTCGTGAGGAACGAAAGACGTGATCAGATTCGACGGAAAATAAGTAGAGTTCGGCGAAAGCCCTACGAATCAGTGACCAGAGAATTGCTTTCTGGATTTTCCTGAGGAACAATTACCTCTTTCGATTGAATTGCTAATGAAAAGCCACTAGGCTGAGATTAGATTATACGTTAAATAGAAAAGTGGAACCGGCTCCGATTCTATCAGAGTGAACTCCTGCGTCGTCCTCTCGGGACCGACCGATTCGTTTACGATAAGATCCACTCTCTCCCAGCTCGATGCTTCCACGAAACGAGTCGTAAGAATCCATTAGCGAGATCGGCCGCTCCGAGGGAGGCCATCCGTATCATCGACTGTTTTCCACGGCCCGTGGAAATCCTTGGCCCGGTGGCATGCATGCGCGCGCCCGATTACGCGCCGCCTTCCCGCTCGATCGCTGCTCGCTGCTACGTGAACTCGACAGCCTTAACCTTCCCGATAACCCATCGGGAATCAAACGAGAAAGCCTCTGCCGCGCGATCTAATTCTGGTGATCGTGATCGGTTCTTTCTCTCGCTTCCCGGCTCGCCAGGTACGGCCGAGGCGCCGTGAACTTGGCGCGCGAGTCGCGAGGACCTTCGGCGAGCAGAGAATTTTCCTGGTCGCGTCGTCCGAGACGAGAATCTCGCCGAACGCCTTCAGGCGTCAACGACACGCGAGGCGATAGTCGATATCTCCCGCGATAATGCCCATCCATTTCGCGTTCCTTCCCCTGGCCTGCAAGCGATCCGCCGAACCCGTTCTGCCTCGCGAGCAATTAGGCCGTACACCGAGCGAACCTCCCGATCGAAACGAATTCTGTGAAATCCCATTCGCTCTTATCCTCGAATTCGAATGGGAACTATCGTGGAACAACTCGTTCGAAGTTTCCGCTGCGCCGGTGCATCGCCGGCGTTCCATTTTAACGAGCCGTAGTAGAAACTGAATCAAGTCCGAGATCCCGGAGGAGAAACTGTCGAGCGACGACGTTTGCTGAACGTTTTCTTCAATTTTCAAGTCGAAACCGACTCTTCGAACCGAATGAACGAACGATGACGCCGGTGACGAGCGGGAAACCATTGAAAAATGAAAGTCGGGCACTCGGATGCGCGAGCGTAATCGTTACATAAGGGGAGCTCGCGAGCTAAACAACCGCGCGGCCATGTGCTTCGGCGTCTCGTACGAGGGTCAGGACCCGAGCGGGCAGAGTGCACGCCGATGGGGGGAGGAGACCGCGAACGTTCTCCACTTATCTAGGCCGTGCAAGACACCGAATCCCGATCTTTTTGTTTGTCTCCGCGGCGGATTTTTTCCGACGGCCGGACACGTGAACGCATAGTTTCTTCGGCGAGTCTTTCCCGGAGCAGGTAGCTTAGCGGATTCCGGTGACGTTGAGGAACGTTAAAGAGGTTGACTAGTCGACCGAGCGCGATGAGCGTCGCAGTTACGGCCGCCGAGTGATACTGCGACGCTCGCGAGACTCCGCGACCGGAACGCTTAGAATCCCCGAGTGTGTGTTTTGACGCGTCCGGGAAGAATCGTGCCCAATTGCCACCAGAATTGTTGTTTATAACTCTCTCGCGGTGGAAACAGTTTTTCGCTTTAGAGGTTCCATCGATGTTCCTCGAGTGTTCGATGAGCGTTTAACCCTTTGTCGCTCTGTTTATTCGAGAATATTTGAGAGTCATTGGAATTGTACCTTTGAATGGTACAATTGAGATACTACAAATACAGAAAGAATTGTTAAAACTGGTAGAGGTTGCAACAAAATAGAATAGTCTGACTCGACATAGAACTGCTTAAGGGTTAATCGTTTATTCGAGGACGTTTGAGAAATACTGAAATTGTACTCGAATTGAACACACCGAACGCCTAGAAACTGCCGAGTCGCTTCAGCTACGGTTCCTCCCCGACGCGTGAAAGCCCAGAAAGCGGCAAGGTAGAAGAGAGATCTCTCGACGAGAGAAATCGCTGAGCCTTGGAGACGTAGCGCCTCGTTTCCGTTGCACCAGGTAGGATTCTTTCTGGTTTCAGCGGCGTGGAGCGCGAGGATGAGGTGTACAGCGCGCGTCAACTGGCAGCACGTGACACCGAGAAGAGTCTCGTGAAGCCGGAGAAGAAGAAGCTGCTGCCGAGCGTCTGCGAAGCAGCCGTGCAGCCGGCCACGAAGCTCCGGCTCCAGGTGCAGGTGACCGAGACTGGAAATCTCGAGGAGCCCGCGGTCGACCCGCCGAAGCCGAAGAACGCGCAGCAGCAGCAGCAGCAGCGGCAGGATCACCGGGAATCGGTGGACAGGGCGAAACCGTTGGCAGTCACGACCTCGACGTTCCGCGCGGCGGGCCAGGGCGTGAAAAAGGAGCCGGCAGGGCTCCGGGACGGCTCGCGGAAGGATAACACCTTCCCGAGACCGGTCCGCGACGCAGAGAAATCGTTCGTCGGCGTGCAAGCGCTCAAGGAGTCGCTCGAGGAGTCGCTCAAGGAGAACGACCAGCCGAAACGGAAGAAGATCAATCCGCGACCGACCAATCGTCCTCCGTTCATCTTCCAGGTACGCTAAGCTACTTGCGTCGGTAGGCTGGCTGTGCCTTTCAAATGGCCTTCGAGGTTTTCAAGCTTTAGAGTCAACCTTCCGAATTTTCAAGCTTTAGAGTCAATCTTCCGAATTTCCAAGCTTTAGAGTCCTATAACTCTCGAATCTTCAAAGCTTCAAAGCTCAGCCTTAAAGACTAAGCATCGAACACTTGTCATTCCATTTATCTCAAGCTACTATTTATCATCATCGCTACACTCGCCGACCTACTAGGCTACGTTGACGTCCATTTGATAATTGATGATTCTTTCAGGGCAAGCCCGCGTTGGAATACGATCCGGAGAGCACAGTCCGTCGCGAGCGGCCACAGGCCGTCACCAGACAATTGTTCGTGCCGATCTCGCCGCAGCAACAGCAACAGCAGCAACAGGAACAGATCACTTGCAGACCACCGCCCCAGACTGCGACAGCCAGCATTTTCGCGCCTCGTACCAAGGACATGAACAAGGGCTTCTTGACATTTAGCGAGGATCATCCAGGTCTTACCAGTGGGTGTCCTTCGTGCAAGCTTCTTCTCCTTCACGCTTCCGTTCTGCCGTTCCTCTCTTCCCAGATAACGTTCAGCGAGATTTTACCTATTCTTCGTCGACGACCGTTTCAATCTATCAGTCTGATTACGGATCTCATTCGCGACGGATGCAACTGCACAGAATGCGCACAACGATATACACAAATTTTACAATGTCACTTTACTCCCATTCTGCTAAACATTAATTAACCGTTTCTTCGTTCCGATCGAGAAACTTTGATTTTCCTTTAAAGTCCGCAGTCCGCTAATGGCTGATCCTCAACTAATCAGCAATGAGTACGAAGAATGGATAATTCACATTTTCGATTCTCTTCCACGTGCCTCGATCGCGATAACGCTGCCGAAGAGATCGAAAACAATAATTATCGCTGCGCGTTACGAACGCTTTATCTTATCGAGGAACTATGAAATCCACCCTTTCTCTGTCGAAGCTGTTATCGAAGAGCTCTTGACGCGTAAAGGGTTGATTTACGAGGTTGCCGTAGCTCGCCGAAGATTGCTACATCCGAACAGCCGATCAGGGCTCCATTATTTATCGCTGCGGAAGCGCGTGAACCGGTCCCAGAGATTTCCTGTAACGCGTCGTCGATCCTGTTGCAGTGTTGAAGGACGAACCGGAGGACTTGACGCATCTGGCGCCCACACCCGGCGACGTGTGCGTGCCCCTCGAAGACACGCCTTTCCTCTCCGACATGCTCGACGAGTTCATCCTCGGCAACGACAACTATTGCCCTCTCCTGAGCCCCAGCGCCGGCCTCGCCACGGAACTACGCTCGACGGATTTCGGCGACCCGCTGAAGGACACCGACCTCGGGGACACCTCGAGGAACAAGGGCCTCGGAGAGTCGCTGGCCGACAGCGACCCGTTCATGTACGGCGACTCGCCGAGCAGCCCGTGCAGCATCGATCCGAACTCCGTCTCGCCGTCCCTCGTTAAATACCGTCAAGTACGTCCCTGGCTGCGCCTGTTTCGCGATGAACGTTTCATTGTGTCGTTCGAAGCTTCCAGCTTCTCGATTAGCTTGCAGTCACGGCTAGAGTTAGACGATTCTTGAACCTTGCAACCCGGTGTCGCGCTGACACTTGGCTACCTCTGACTCGACAGTAAATACGACGATCTCGGAATTAAAAACAATTCTTAGTATTGCGTAGAGTAGTCTTAACACTAGGTTTACGGGCATTTATTGTACGCTTCATTCTATTGTTCCTAAAAGATGCTATTTAGATTGTGGAAACTGGAGATTCGATAGTAGGTAATTGAGGTACATGTCAGTGTGATCGCATCGTAAACCTAGTGTTAACTTGTTAGTCGTGAATGTCGTCATGACGGAAACTTGGAGCTCCGATATCTACATTTGAAACGAATGAGTCGATTACCGAATAACGAGTCAAGTTTGATGAAAGTATCATGGTGCCACTTTCTTCTAGCAGAGCCCAGAACGAAGTATGGATTCCCTGGGCAGCCCGACGGGCGGCAGCGGCGCGGAAGGCCTCTCCGAAGACGAGATGCTGATGCTGGGCCTGAGCGACAGCATAGCGGACGACGAGCTGGCGCTGAGGGCTCCTTACATACCCATGTCGGACCAAGACGAAGCTCTGGACCTCTTGATCAGCGACGACATGGTGATGTGGAGTCCACCGCAGACCACGGAGAAGAACTGTCCAAAATGGTACAACGATTCCGATACAGAAATGGAGTAACGCTGTACGCCGAAGCATGCTCAGACCTTACACTGCGCGTTTCTTTCAGGATGCTAGACGAAAAGGAGCAACGAATGACCGACTCGAGTTTAGCACAGCTCCTGAAGACGGACCAGGTAGTCTCTAGAAAATACAACGACCACGGTGGCGGTCTGGTGAACCCGGTTCAAGTCCTCGGTCAGATACCGAGGAAAAGTAAGTGTTGCGAAGAGTCCTCCAGTCCCTGATACAGTGGAACCTCGATTATCCGATTTGATACGACTAACAGTCACATTCGTCAGACTTTGAGCATACTCCAAAGCACTCCTAGTATCCCAAGTATCTGGTTAGCGACAAGACTGGATAGCTTAGATCACATAAAGAATGGCTCACACGACTCTTCTCGTTCACACTTCATAACCACTAGACTCTGCTAATCTCTACATTCCGACATACTAGTATCAGTTGACCTAACTACGATTAGAGTGTAGCGAAGGCTAGTATCTCTACTCGTCACCTATTCGCATCAAGCCCTACACGTTCCAGAGTAGGGTTAGCGATCGAGGTTCCAGCTCAGCCAGCAAACTAACGTGTCCCATTTGCCCAGGTGCCAGCCTGGACGCGAGCCACTGGTCCTCGAAGCTGGACAGACCCAGCAAACGCATACACACTGCCTCGCTAGACACGGGTACCGAGAACAAACGCCTGAAGTGCGACGAGTCGAGTCGCCGCGGCAGTCCCCTGAGCCTGGAGGACCACTTGCTGGGCAAGCAGCACCAGCAGTCGCCGAGGAAGCCGGCGAACATGAACGGCAGCCAGCTGCTCCGTCGGCTGGTGTCCCAGCAGACGGTCCAGCGGAGCAGCGGCAGCTACAACGGCGAGTCGTACACGAACAGTCCCCGGCGGGGCGAGAACCCGGGCCGGATGCAGAGGGACTTGGAGATGGACGAGGCCGAGGGGGACAGCGGAGGCGGCGGAAACGAGGACGGGGGAGGCAGCGGGACGCGGCTCCCGCCCGAGCGGACGAGCCCCGGGTGCAGCAGCGTGCTGATGAACCTGCTGGTGTCCGGCTGCGACGTGAGTGCGGGATACGTGTGCTTCGCGAAACCGAAGCCCTCGAAGAGCATCGCGAGCACGTGAACGGCCGCCGCCCTCCGTCTCTCATCTCTCACTCTCTGTCTGGGAAAATTGTTTTCTGCTCTGAACGCGTGCCCGGCTCGGTTACCGTATGCGAACGCGCCCGGTCCGTCCGGCTGGACCGGTCTCTCGAACACGCGCGGCTCACATTCATTGTAAAGCGTCGGACACACTCCCGCTGTTTTATTACACGCTCGAGAGAGAAACTCCGGACACGTCGTTGTCCGTTCGCTACGGTCGCTCGGTTAGCTGGATATAGCGCTGGCACGTTGGAGAGATTTTTAATGCGGCGACGAGGAGGAACAGGACGAAGCGGCGACCGACGGTCGCTCGCGCCTCGTAGCCTCGAGAACCACGCTCCGCGGGCCGAGACAGGCGTGGTCCGCTCGAAGCGGGGCCCCGCGGCCTCGCGCGTCGCTCTTTAGAGTCACGTTAATGTATTCTGTACTTTCAAAGTATATGGAATTGTTGATTTGAAGATTGTCAAGAAAGAAATATGCCAAAAATACATTGAACATTTTGAACATCGAATCATCTGAACTGCTGCGTTTCGTTTCCTACCCCCTTCATCCCTGCCGATCCGTCTCACCGCAACGCGCACGGGGAACCCCGCGTTCCCGGTAGCTTCCCGGAGGCTGCACGCGCCGGTGCCGAGCAACGTTGTCGCCGACAGGCGAACCGCGTTCTCTCGGTCACAAGAGGGCAATAAAAGCGATCGATCGTTATCGAGCGCGGTGATCCCTTAGCATTTTATATTCGGACGTTTGTAAAGATATATTAACACACCGGTGGAAGGCAGGCTCGATTGCCCTGTATTTTTCAATGATCCAAGTCAACTTTTTACGTTCCCCGTGCTAAGAACTGCAATTACGTTGCGTCAGAGTCTAGATACTTGTGATCCCCACGTTTTTTTCGTCTTGCCGCGCGCGAAGCGTCATTGAACATTCGAAATCGTTCGGTTGAACGACTCGCAGTCCCGTGTGGAATTATGTAACGGAAAATCGATTGGCGTGGCTTCGGTTTTTCAGTCTCGAGGATGGCACCGTGGCAGCGGCACGCGTAAACATTATTCTCATTTGCAAACGTCTCCCACTTCTCCTGGTCTTCACACGAAACGCAGCACCGAGTAACATTTAGTCGTTACAGAGACTCTTAACGAGCACCATTGTAGCTAGGAAAGTGCAGAGCACGCGGAGGGCTGAGGTTTCGTTCAAAAATAAGAACACTGAACATTCGAGTAGCAGTGATTACAGAATTCTTCAAAATTAACGCTAGATTTACCTAAGAAACTCTTATACCGAACGTTTCGAATGAAATTAAACTGCCAAGGTCTCTACGAACACTTTTTCTAGAAACTGCATTGAGGTGTTCACAAGTGTAAATCTAGAGTTAATCGAAGACATAGATATATAACGAACGATACTTTTTCAAGGTGACATAATTTTGATGAAATTGCGCAGGACAATTTGATGGAGTCCCGCAACGTGCCGACGGCGCTGCCGAAGAGCCTGACGATGCCGTTGTCCGTCAACCTGGAGAACCAAATGGTGCCTCAGTGCCCTCCGTCCGGAGGATCGACAGGGTCGTACGACGATCTGAGTCCGGACCCGGGCAAGCAGCTGTCCGGCTCGTTCATCGGCGAAGGACCACTCGTGTCGCCCTCCTCGTCGATGATCAACTTCGAGAACTACGATTACGATCCGAGCTTGACGAGTAGCGGCCTGCTGCAGGTGCAGCCGGACCTCTTCGGGACCCTCTTGGATCGGGATCTCGTTTAAACAACAAGAAGGATACAATACCGAGCGCGTGATATGATACATAGTAGACTGCGTTTGACATTCAAACTATCGGACCGTCGATGAGATCGGTAAGCTTTCTTTGAGGAACTACGAGTCACCTTTGACAAGAGAACCTAAACAGATCGATTCGTTCAGCGCTGGAACTATTGGATGGGAATCGGCGATTTTTCTTTTAGAATTATTGGACAGATAGCTTCTTTGAGAAACGATTAAAGAAATTCGAGAATACCTAAATTGATGTGGTTATAGAGTCTAGAGAAGGAATTCAAAGGTCAGTTCAAGTGCTCGGTAGTTCTAGGGTTGATTCTCAGCGATCTTAGATCCTGACAGCTGCTAAGCAGAGAACTCGGAATCCGAGACAATTTGTCCGATAGTTTAAGATGCTCGAATGGACCTAATGAAAGCCTAGACGATCCGGGCGGGTCCGCAGGCGTTGATATTTTTCCACTGATCAATCCCGCACACGTTTCGATCCGAGAACACGGTGGACCAAGACGGTCCGTCATCACGCGAGAAAGTGCCAATGCATTTCTTTTAGGGAGCCCTAGTTGTTAAGTGGTCACCGCTGGAAGACGGTCTCCAACGCGGCAGTTAGATATCGTTTAGAGAATTTTGTTGTTGTTAGACTGCGAATGTTTATGCGAACGTACGGAAAAGAAATTGAATTCCTTCGCTCGATTCAGAGGTCGCATAAAGATCCGCAGACTTCGATCATCAGCGATCGTATTTCGTTTGGAAGTGGTCCGACGGGACCGAGAATATTGGAATCTTCCAAAGCCAATGAGACGCGTTGCCAAACGGAATCGTGCTGTTGCTCGAATCAGCTGCGATTAGCGCGTTCGCTATCGCGCATTTGTCAACCGTATCAGTTTCGAGTTTAGAAAATGAAACTAGTTTAGCCGGAATCACTAGATTATACTCTAGGCTCTTGTTTGTTATGCGCCCCGGATATTTTGTGAAAATACCGTCAGGCGTAACCGACGTGAATCGGCAGTAGCGAACGCGTTAGCGAACCAATAGCAGAGGTACGATTTCATTGAAGCGCCGTTTCGCGAGCGGACAGCGAGCGCATTTAACGCGGCGGCCGCGCGTTTTCTCGGCGGCAGAAGGATCGGTGTAAATTCTAATTGATAAGCGGAGAGAGACGCGCGGCGCCGACGATTCCCGCGTTGCGGCCGACCGACGCGGCGGCCACGGACGAAACCAAGCCGCGTCGCAACAGATTGCGATCCGTCGCGTGCCTCGTCGTCATTGTTACTGTTTTTATAGTTTTTAAACGAGACCAATCCCCGATTATCAGTTGTTACTATATAGATTATCGCGATTATCGTTCTTTCCGCGTGCCCCCGCCGAGGAACATGTGCCCGTGTTCCGATGGGCGTGCGCGCATTATATAAATATGAATATTTTTAATATCACTTACCGATACAGTCACTGTAAGAGCATACTAATTTTATGAATTTTACTATCGTCTTGTATTTTTATTCACGTAACATCCACGAGACCATTGCTAATTAATCTCTCCTTGTATTACACTGCCGGTATAGAGCGATGAATACCGCGTGAAAGTGAATTATGAGATAACAAATAAATAGAATTTCTACTGTACGTCGGTGTTTTAATCGGTGACGCTTGGACGATCGCGTTTTTAACTCTTTATATACCTATTTTTGTACTCCATAAACGCACGAAGAGAAAGTCAGTCTTTTGAATAATAGTTTAATTTGAATAATAGAAAGTTTCTTTAATAATAGTCTCGTAAGAGATCATTGATTTTTTAATGACTGTTGAATAACCGTTGGTAGGTAACGTCGAGTGTCCATTTGCCAATAAGCGATCCATTGTTCTTTCAACGAAACGACTGTACAAACCAAATGAAACCAATAGAAAGTAACTGGTACAATTTATACAAAATTTGAAATATTTGTAGCGCACTAAGGAATATGAGACATAAGGTTAGTTGTCTAAGTTTTCAATGCTCTATGGATAAATAAACAGGGTAATCGAAAGAGTGGATTACTAATCGATACCATAATAAATACCCATAATAAATATCTAATTGATAACGAAAAATCAGTTTCATTTATCAATTGACGTTAATGGAATCGAATTTTTTAGGGATGATTTCAACATTTTACATCGTAATTATTAAAACTGTTTTTTATCAATAAATCTCCCGTTAACCGAGAGTGGAGAATTGTAAAAAGAAAATTAAGTTTAATTTCGAATATAGATTTCTAGATTTCTTTTCAAAATTATCGAAATCGATAAGTTACCCTGTACGTTAGACCGATTTCTGTGGATATTTTACCTTGAGAGCAAGTGATCTTCTACGTCGTCGGTAACGTAGAACCGGAAATAGAAAGTTTCACCGCGTGAAACGTCTATATTACTTTTAAATCTACGTCAATTATTAAAGAATTCGATTATAGGTCATTAGCCCTCTGAAGTTGCGTAGCGAGAAATACCGCCACATGCGTTCCGCTACTAATAAACACAATCGAAGAAGTCTGTTCTGATCACAATCTCCGAGGGGGGATTTGAAATTTTTCAATTCCTTGGTGATCAGTAACAACGTATGTCGCGCACTGTTGGCACAAGCCGCGGCAATTAGATCAGTTTTTACGATGGCCGTGCCTTCTTCTTTCGTTGTTGGTGACATCGTGCATTTAAACGTCGGAGGAACAAGGTATAGAAAGAGAAAGTATTGTTTCATTTTTCCCATCTGTCTCAGGAATTGTGTAATTGTTTCATAAATTGATCGCCGGCGATCGCTCATTGTCATGGATCGAAAAATATTTACCGAAAATATTGTTGGCGTCGAAGCTTTCGATTGTAAGCTGTGACGTTTCGAAAAAGATATCTCAACTTAGTCCAGAGCTAATTGAATTCGTTTAATTAGGTTTTCAACGTCGAAACAAACGTTAACGTGGGTCCCAGATTCATTTTTTACCACATTACTGAGCAACCGTTTCGCCAGCCATAGAGATGAAGATGGAGCATTGTTTATAGATAGAGATCCAAAATTATTCTCTATCATATTGAATTATTTGCGCACAAAAGACATTGATCTGAAAAGCGCGGATCTTAGAACTTTGAGACACGAAGCTGAATATTATGGTATAATACCATTAGTTAAAAGATTAATGTTGTGCGAGGATTTGACACAATCTTCTTGTGGAGATGTGTTATTTTATGGTTATTTACCACCTCCAAGTAAGTTATCATGCAATTTTAAGTAAGTTAACGGAATTGTAAATCTGGATATTTTTATTTCAAAGGTATACCGTTACAAGAACCCACTGCCACATCGTCGAATGTAGGGGATGTGTCTGTTCATGGTAGAGCTACTAATGCAACCACAAACCCCAAAACAGATGCACCATCCACTTCTCAAAGTGCAACTCCGTCAAATTCCAATTCAACCCCAAACACTAATGGTAATAGATTAATTTTACTTAATAAAATTTCTATATACATTATCAACATTATCTGCAATGTATTTATTTATTTCAGGTCAACAAAACCATAAAGGTACTCTTGGGACACACGTAAGGAATTCTTCGTTGGATTACAAAATCCAGCAAAGAGGCTTGCCATATTCGCGTGCATCATCTCTAGATTTAAGGCACGTTAGAAATAATTCAGCCGACCTAAACAAATTACACAAGAATGACATAAGTTTGGTGTTCGGACCCCAACAAGGTAAGCCAATGAAAATCTTCCTGTTGGACGTCCTAACGAAATGCTGTTAACACTTTTTGTTTATACAGTTTCGTCTTGGGTTGACCCTTTAAGAGTTCAAATAATAAAAGCTCATCACAATTGGATTGTGATTGCTTATGCGCATTTTATAACATGTTACCAACTAAAGGATTCATCTGGATGGCAGCATGCATTTACTAGTCCCCATATCGAGTCGGTAATTGAAAGGGTTGCGATAACTTCCAAATTAAACACTAGTTTGGACGTCAATATGGTTGCCTTTTCCTATGGAAATCAAGTTACATTATGGAGTGTTTCTGCGAATAGGATTAACATTAACATTGGTACATTTAACTTAAATGTTCGTATAGAATACTTATTTTTTATCGCTAGTCAATTGGTGGCCCTATCTTCTACCGATAAAATTGGCGTGTGGCACGCTATGACGCACCATTGGCAAATACAAGATGTAGTACCTATTTTGTCATTCGACACCGCTGGTTCTTTTCTTCTTCTGGGATGCAACAACGGATCTATATATTACATTGGTAAGGATTGAAATTTCTTTAATACTTTAAACAATCGATTTTCCAACGATATTTACCAGTCGCTGATTTCTAGACATGGAAAAATTCCCTTTGCGAATGAAGGACAACGATCTACTCGTAACCGAATTGTACCGTGATCCAAATTATGATCCCATTACAGCCATATCCGTTTATTTAACGCCAAAGACATGTAAGTTTTCATCAACGTTTTTTACGTCACACAATATTATCTTGATAAGCGGCTTAAAACGAAAATCAAAGGTAAATAATAACTAATTGATAGTTGATAACATTGAGTATTACAGTATCTCTATTGCAGAAACACCTTTTCAAGTGACGTACAAGTAAATGGACTAAAATATAATTGTTTAATCTGCTTATATTGAGGAATGTAATAACAAACGTCACTTTAATGATACTTTCCCATTCTTGTTTGCCGTATTATTCTGTTTAATAGTTGCATTACACTGTCGGCTAGAATTCAATTCAGAAAAAATCTCGATACCACCTTTATTTTCTGTTGCAAAGAGAGCGAGTGTCTGCTGGTAGATTGACACTCAAAATATACATTCAGATGCGAACCTTCTAGTGTCTTTCTATCATCGAGTATAATATTATTGTATATTGAATATTAATGAGAGTTTATTATTACATTCTTTGCTTCATGATTTCGTACAACTGGATATATAGCACAAGGCAAGTATGGGTCGATATAACAATGTTCTACAATAATCTCACATTCAAGTCACAGTTCGAAATAACATATGTTTCTGTACATTTTGTATTGCATTGATTTCGATATTAGTATCCATATCCTTCCTCTCCAGATATATCGTGTTCGTCGTCTTACGTATTCATATACCGCTTTTCACGGCACGTCTCAATGAGAACTTTCTCCGTCCATAGAGTTTTTATACCTTTCACATTGAAAAACATAACTTCCGCTCATAAGTAATTCCGAATACGAGTACATAAACGTAAACGTTATTTTCTCTTTTAGATTGCTTTAATCGTACACAGCCCGCTATCCTTATGCGTCCAGTTGTACTACTGCAAATTATGACATTCTCACTTCCCATTTACTTTGTCAACATCTAATTGGAAATTATGGTTACACGATTCACTTGTCTTTGCTCCGATTAATTTTCATTTTCAAAGATTCCTGGCCTATTCCTTCCATTCCAATCTGTCACATCAGGATCTGAGAGGGGAAGGAAAACGAATAGACAACGCGTACCTCTGCTTGCATAGTTATTCTTCGTTGAAACAGTTTTAAACATACATATATACGATCGTTGTTTAGTTCATTCCAAACAGTTATACTAGTTTTCTGTACATTGTACATATCCTTACATTTCTCACATGTCTCCTCGTAGCGCAAGTCCATCGAATATACTTCAAATCTAAATTACGCATATCTTAGTATGTAACCGATAAGCAGATACCTTGTTTAGAAATAGTTACACTCTTTCTTAATTGTCTCGATGAGAAGCATGTAATGTGTGGATTTTCCATTTTCTCTTGATTGAAGTACACACGCACAAAAGATACTTTCCATTTCTCTAGTTTTATACATGTAATGTCCATATCATATCATTTTACATTCTCTATTAATAAATGTAGTCTATATTAACAACACGACGCTCTTTAAAGTGAAATAGCTTTGTATAAAACACGACTTTTTATACAGCTCTGTGTGGCAACTGGATTGAAATTGCGTACGGTACTAAGTCTGGCAGTGTGAAAGTCATTGCGCAACATCCTGAAACTGTAGGGCACGGACCACAATTATTCCAAACATTTACGGTACATCAGAGTAGCGTTACAAAAGTATGTCCATGTCAACGATATTTCCCTCTTGGATGTTAATTTCCAATTGCGTGTGTTTCTATCTGATACTTTTACAGGTAACATTGTCAGAGAAATATTTAGTGTCAGTTTGTTCTGAGTACAATCACGTTAGAAGTTGGGCGGTAAAAAGATTCCGTGGAATGATCTCCACTCAACCAGGATCAACGCCTGAAGCAAGCTTTAAAATTGTATCTTTAGAAGCGATCGAACCTTGTATCAGTTACAGTGCTGGCAATGATTTTGGTATGTAATCACGAGAAATACTACTATAACATTATCAGTCGTACCAAGAACTCAATTGACCTTTACATTCTGACAACGCAGGACCATTTGGGGAGCAGGACGACGAGCAAGTGTTCGTCCAAAAAGTTGTACCTGAGACTGATCAGTTGTTTGTGCGTTTAGCGTCGAACGGTAAAAGAGTGTGTGTAATTAAGTCGGTAGACGGTAGCATTATTAGTTCGTTCTACGTACACGAATGTGAAGGGTCTAGTCGTATGGGCTCAAGGCCGCGACGTTTTATATTCACCGGCCACTCGAATGGCACCATACAAATGTGGGATCTCACGACAGCCTTAGAGCCGTCGTTCTCTTCCGCTCAAAGTAAAATCATTGTCTTTCTAAAAAAATATTTGCCAACTACAATTCATGGTAACTAACGATTAACCGTGTTTTGTCGTAGATGTTTCCGGCGGACCTACACCAGAGGAACTTTGGAAATTATTAGATCAGTGCGACTTGAGCAACAGTTACTCCTCGACGCCATGCATCAGCCCATGCCCCTCGGTTATATCCCAATCGGGTCCTAGTTTAAAAACGAGCAATGTATTGTTTCTCAACCAATCTCAGAACTTTGAGGCTACTCCGGGAACTAGCCAAACATAAAGGTAGTAGCACGAACAAAATAGTCTTACACTCTGTCTTTTTTTATGTCATTGGACGAACGTTGATCTAATCTTTATTACTACCACTAGCATCTGCATTTATTTATTTATTTATTTATTACGGGTTATTTTCACGTACAAGTCTACGATTAGAGTTCCTAGTAACCGATTGTTTTTTATATATCTGAACGTAACGATTTTCGGGAAACATTGTTTTAGAAGTGTAACATGAAAGTGATATAATTAACGAACTACGGATGTATTAAGTATAAGAATCGTATAGTAAGGTAACCATGAATTGATCGTTCTTTGAATCT